GGGTTCGAAGTAGTAGTCGACGGTTGGGTCGGGGTCATTGGGGGCCGTAGTCGTAGATGTTCTTTCCGGTTTTACGTCTATGCGCGGTACTTTGCTGTGCGGGAGTTGATTTCGATGAAGAGGGCTTTCGTTGCTGCCCTCACCCCAGTCCCTCTCCCTCAGGAGAGCGCTTTGATGTCGCGGGTTGCTGCCTATTCGCTGCTGGAGCATTTCGCGTGGACGCAGGCTCCGTCACCCCATCCTAGCCTTCCCCCGTCAGGGGAGGATTATCGCTGCCCTCTCCCTAGGGAGAGGGAGCTTTGTGGCAGGCTGGCGGCTCGCGGTCTTCTAGATTCTGCTTCGGAGGAATGGCGAGAAGATGGGGCGGTCTCTTGGAAACGAGAGGCTTTGAGTTGTCGTCTCGGTCTTCTTCTTCTCTGATCTCTTTGGCTATGGCTTCGTAGTCTGTGTCGTCGTAGTTGTCGTAGTCGTCGATGGAGGTTGAGAGGCGGGCCTGGGTCTTTTTCTGGCCTATGGAGAGACGTGTGCTTTCCTTGTCGCGCCAGTAGTCCTGAAGGTGCTTGGGCTTGATGTTGTCGTAGTTGGTGTCCCAGCCACGGCGCAGAAGCTCCTGTGCTGCTGACATACGGTGATGGATGGTGAACTCTAGGTCAGGGTCGGGGTCGGACATTACTTCCAAAAGGAAGCGGACGGTGTCGGTGCCGCGCTCGCTGTACTCTCGCATTCGCCTAGCTAGGTCGGTGTGCAGGGTGTCGTAGGCGTTTGCTTCGTCGGTGGTGTCTGAGAGTCTTGCGGCGTGAGCCGAGGTCTCCGAAGCCGCGTCGCAGGAGTTCTCTTGCTGCTGCCATGCGGTCTGCGGGCTTGATGCGGAACTTCCTGGGGTGAATGGCCTGTCTCTTGCCGTCATGATGTGAATGAGAAACTCTACGAGGGTGTGACCTTCTGCTGTCTCGTGGCGGATGAGATGGGCTATCTGGTAGTTGAGGATGTCGAGGTGGGTTACGGGGGCTGCAATCTCTTCTCCCCTCACCCCTTCGCCAAGCTCAGGGCAGGCTCTAGCCCTCTCCCAGGGGAGAGGGGACTTTGGACGGGGGTTTCGTCGTCGCCCTGCCCCTCTGGATTCCCGCCTGCGCGGGAAAGACGGTCAGAGGTGGTTTCGCATTCGGCGTCGGGGAAGCCGTATCTGATGAGGTGCTTGGCTGCTTCCATGCGGTGGCAGACTTTGACGCCGGGAGTTTCGCCGCGCATTGTGTCGGCGAGGAAGGCGGCGATGTCGTAGCCGTCCTTGGTGATGCTGTATATGCTTTGTTGCAGCTCGGTTAGTTTGCACATATCAGGTTTCGGGTGGCTCTCCCTTTGATTTAGTCAGGGTACATGGATAAGACTATATGTTCTGTCATGAATATGATAAGGACAGACGTTTGAGTTGTCAAGGGGGAATCTGGCAGGTTTGTTGGGATGGATGGTTGGGCGGCGGCGTAAGGAGTGACAACTTCTGAATACCTTTCCGGTTTGAACAGAACTGCAACGTAGTTGCGAAAAAGGTTCCCTCATTATCCGCCTCGAACACAGATTTCTCTCCACGTCCCGCGGTCCTTTGCTAGAAGAAGTTACCGTTGACTGCCTACACAGGAATATGTAACATTACCGCCACTGACCATGAGACTAGACTTACTTCGATTCAATTGCATCAACTTCTCACTTTCCGCAGAAGTGAGGACTGCGCGTGACCATGTTGAAAGAATTCAAGATGTCATGAGCCAAACCGTATGTCACCGATTGGCCGTGGACGAGGAAGGGGAAACATTAGTCTTAGGAGCAAGCTTTGGTTCAGTATCCAAATTGCGTAATGGTACCTATCGCATTCGAAGCAGACTAGTGGATTCCCTCGACGAGAATGAGCATGTTGTTAGTCTTGAAGTAGAATACGAAATAGCGCCTGATGGATTATCTCCTCCGCCCCGTGGCATGCGTCCGGTTTCAGTCCTAATAGATAACTCATCGGACGTGTTTGGCGTAATCTCAGTCACTTGCCATGCTTTCTTTGAATACAACCAGTCGGGAGGCTTCCTTTCGAGTATCAATTTCCCCCTCCCTCTAATGCTTCAGGATGAAGCTAGAGGCATAACTCACATCGAAAGTGCTCAATTCAGCCTACGGTCTGGCGATAATGTACTACACACCGTAATAGTGACGACGAATTCTGAAACTGGCTCCGTTGGACATATGGTAGAATTTGAGAAAGAAGTCCAATTAAATCGCGCTGCTATTCGTGCCTTATTTAATGAGGCTGTCGCGATTTCCACTCGGTTGGTGAGACGCACAGAGGATGGATAGTATGGCAAATCTAGGCTCCGCACGCAAGAAAGCAAGTAGTTTCGCTCGCGATTCACAAAATCAATGGCTTGATGCCATTGACGGTTCACCATGGGAATCCATAAACGAAGGAACCAGATACGGCACAAGCCGCACGATGGTGGCACCGGGGTGGTTCCCTGAACTTCCTGTCGACAATTCAATAATGCGCTTGCGGCAGCGACTCGATAATGCCAATCGCCACTTTGAGAGGAAGGCGGCGGAGGTGCTTGGAGATAAAGACGCTGTGCGCCTGCTGGCCACGCTTTATGATTCTATCAACATCGGAATTGATGAATTTGATTCCTGTCAACGAGGTATAGCACTAGCTAAATTGACTGCCCAACCAGCTAAGAAGAAAATAAAAGAAGCGAGAACAGCAATTTCTGCGAAATTGGAGCCAAGTACATTTACATATCGGAGGCTGGCCAAAGATTTATCGAGGCGCTCAATAAGGAATGACCGACGTAAACGACGCATTCGCCAACACGAGTGTCGATGCACAGTCCCGTGTATATGAAAAACACCTGTCGAAGAAAAGCCTCCGTGTCGCCATTTTGGGACCAAACCTCGACAATATCCAGGCCGCTGGAACTCGAAAACGTTTCGAGATTCGAGACGCATTGAGGGACGATGGTCACGACCCATTCTTTCCTGAATGCCTCATAGACACCGATGACCCATCGCAGTTGTGGATAAGAATAGAGCGGGAACTCCTAAGTGCCTCCGATGTCGATCTAGTCATCATATTGCATACTCCAGACGCATTCGGAACCTTAACTGAGATTGCCAATTTCGTAAGCGTTCCAGAAATTCATAGCAAACCGGCGATTCTATTTCCAGTTCAGTTCTATCAGCCTGGCGCAAATCTACCCGCCAATACGGTTCAAGCGTACTTCGCTAGAAAGATATACACTGAGAGTGAGTTGACGGAATGCCACGTAGTGGCAGAATGTCGAAAATGGGCAGAGAACCGACTGTTTGGTAATTGGCCGGGGCGCGAAGCTCAAAAATTCTAAGAGTAGCACCTTTTGAATAGGCACTTACGTCCCACGGTCGGAGTGATTCGTGGGACGTTTTGCTGATGAAGGGTCATTCTTCGCTCCCGTCGTCGTTGAAGACGGTGCGCAATCGTGACAGTGCGGAGGCTCACTGATCAGTTCGTGGGATTTAGGTTTGTGAGTCTCTGCTAATAGGCGGTGTCACTCCGGGCCCATTATTCTCTGTGATTTTACTGGTTGGAGAGGTCGTGGAAGAGGCGGTTGACTTGCTGGGTCTGCTGGGAGTTGGGTGTCCAGAGGCAGGTGTCGCCTGTGTCCTGGTTGAGTGCGGTGACAGGGCGAGCGAAATTCGCCTTGATCTCGATAGTTGCGGTGACGGCAAGCACTAAAAAGGCGTTCTCCCCGTCCTTGTTAGGGAGCGGGGAGAACGTTTTGTCAGGTCTCAATCGCTGTCAAATACTATGCAAGGTAAGCCCATCCACCAGCATTTTCAGGAGCGCCCATCGCGGTGGATGTGGTCTCGGCGCCAGTGTCGGCAAATGCGGTGCCGAGTTGCGAGGAATGGACGGCCATAGCATGGCGGGGCCGAGAATGAGCGCGAGGAGCAGGGCTTTCGGCGATGGAATCGGAATCTTGCGCGAGCCTGTGCTGCCCATGAGCCGGGAGCTTATTCTGCTGATGTGTGTGAGTGTAGTCTTCATGTCGGTGAACTCCCTGATTTTGAGATGCTGATGCCAATTGCCTGCCGGTCGGCGGGAGCGAGGCGTTGAGTCTCTTCGCGCCTGAGCAGTAGCCGCACCTTATGTCGCATAGCATAACATAGAGTATGTTATATGTCAATATGTTATGATAATAGGGCGGTTATGATGATGAGTTGGCGCTCTGCCTTTTCGAAGGATGTGGAGTTTGGTGCTGCCGGGCATGTCGAGAGAAGGCTGAAAATGTGGTGGGAATTCGGTTGACAGGTGTGGGAGCGTTGTGGTAAAGTTACTAGATTCTCAAACTATGTGCTTTTTGACCAAACGCGTACTCTCGATTGCAGACATACCACCTCAGTCGAGGTGCGCCTTTTTTGTCCCCGCATTATTTCCCCCATCGGCCGCGTCATTAACGACTAAACGTTACTTTTAGCATCTTTAGTTTTCACAGACGGGCGACTTCCGATAACCAGCTATCAACATATCCAGGCCGGACAGCCAGCCACCAATTGCAATAGCAACCTCTTTGCTTAGGAGCGTGAGTGTATGACCTTATCTATTGCGAAGCCCGCTAATCATAGTAATGCCTACGGTATCGGGGGCCATCCTGACGACAGGAAGCGTTCTTACGCGGCGACGACCACAGTTCTCGATGTGCCGAACCTGATACAGGTGCAGCTCGATTCGTTCGCATGGTTCAAGTCTGAAGGGCTGAAGGACCTTTTCGACGAGATTTCGCCCATAGAGGACTCGCCGGGATCGCGCTTTGAGCTTTCGCTGGGAGATCACTACTTCGAGGAGCCCAAGTACACCGAGGATGAGTGCCGGGAGAAGGAGATAACATATTCGGCGCCGCTGTATGTGACGGTTACGCTGGAGATAAAGGCGTCGGGCACAGGGGCACGGCGAGATCAAAGAGCAGACGCTATTCATCGGCGATATTCCGATGATGACGAGCAACGGAACCTTCGTCATCAACGGGGCAGAGCGCGTGGTGGTGAGCCAGCTTGTGCGCTCGCCGGGGGTCTATTTCACGACGACATCGGATATGAATACGGGGCGCGGGCTTGCGTCGGCGAAGCTGATACCGTATCGCGGGGCGTGGATGGAGTTCGAGACTTCGAGCCGAGATGTGATATCGGTGAAGGTTGACCGCAAGCGCAAGACGCCAGTGAGCACACTGTTGCGGGCGATGGGATACGCCACGAACGATGAGCTGCTGGAGCTGTTCTCGGATGTGGATACGAACCCTGAGCACGAGTATATGCGCACGACGATAGAGAGGGACGGGGCGGTTACGACTGAGGAGGAGGCGCTGCTGGAGTTTTATCGCAGGCTGCGCCCTGGCGAGCCGACGAGTCTGGACAACGCGAAGAACCTCATTGAGAACTTGTTCTACAATGACCGGCGCTACGATCTGGGCCGTGTGGGCAGGTACAAGCTGAACCGCAGCCTTCACAGGGACCCCGCGAACATAGTCCGCACGTTGGAGCCGGAAGATATCACAACGCTGCTGAAGACGATGGTCCGCATCAACAATGGAGAGGTGTCGCCGGACGACATCGACCATCTTGGGCAACAGGCGTGTGCGCGCGGTGGGCGAGCTGATACAGAACCAGGTGCGCGTTGGACTGCTGCGGATGGAGCGGGTCATCAAGGAGCGCATGACGACGCAGATAGATCCTGCGACGACTACGCCGGCGGCGCTGATAAACATCAGGCCGGTGGTGGCGGCAGTGCGCGAGTTCTTTGGCGGGTCGCAGCTTTCGCAGTTTATGGACCAGACGAATCCGCTGGCGGAGCTGACGCATAAGCGCAGGCTGTCGGCACTGGGACCGGGCGGGCTGTCACGTGAGCGCGCGGGCTTCGATGTGCGCGACGTGCATCACTCGCACTATGGGCGCATCTGCCCGATTGAGACGCCTGAAGGGCCGAATATCGGGCTGCTGGGGTCGCTGGCGACTTATGCGCGAACGAACGAGTACGGGTTCATCGAGACGCCGTACCGCCAGATCCTGACGGAGATTAAGAACACAGACCCCGACATCGAGGGGCGCACGCTGACGCAGGACATAGTTGCACCTGACGGCTCGCGACTGCTGACGGCGGGCAGGGTCGTGAACAGCCGATATATGAGGCGGGTCTCGGCGCTGCCGGAGCAGATGGTGAAGGTCAATCCGTATGTGTCAATGAGGGCGAACGCCATCGAGTATCTGTCGGCTGACGGGGAAGAGGGCAAGGATATCGCTATGGCGAGCGCGGCCCTGGACGAGAAGGGGCAGTTCGTCGATGAGCGAATCGAGACGCGGCGAGGCGAGGGCGTTGGGATGGAGCCGCCGGAGAATGTGTCTTACATGGATGTGTCGCCGATGCAGCTTGTGAGCGTATCGACGGCGCTGATTCCGTTCCTGGAGCACGATGACGCGAACCGCGCGCTGATGGGATCGAACATGCAGAGGCAGGCTGTGCCGCTGCTGAAGCCGGAGGCGCCGCTGGTGGGCACCGGCATGGAGGGCCGCGTGGCGCGGGACAGCGGCCAGGTAATTATGTCCAGAGTGAAGGGTGTGGTTACGGAGGTTACGGGCGAGCGCATATGCGTGGTGGACGAGAACGGCGAGTTGCAGACGCACCGGTTGCTGAAGTTCCTGCGGAGCAACCAGGGGACATGCATCAATCAGCGTTCGATCGTGAACAAGGGCGATGTGGTGAGAGTGGGGCAGGTTCTTGCGGACAGTTCTTCGACGGGCGGCGGCGAGCTTGCGCTGGGGCAGAATGTGCTTGTGGCGTTTATGAGCTGGGAGGGGTACAACTTCGAGGACGCAATCATCCTGAGCCGCAAGCTGGTGAAGGACGACAAGTTCACTTCGATACATATCGAGAAGCACGAGGTGGAGGCGCGGGATACGAAGCTGGGTCCTGAAGAGATTACGCGGGACATCCCGAATGTGGGCGAGGACAGCCTGCGGGACCTGGACGAGGAAGGCATCATCCGGGTGGGCGCGGAGATCAAGACGGGCGACATCCTTGTGGGCAAGATAACGCCCAAGGGCGAGACGGAGTTGAGCGCGGAGGAGAAGCTGCTGCGGGCGATATTCGGGGAGAAGGCGCGGGATGTGAAGGACACTTCGCTGCGCGTGCCTCACGGGGAGCGCGGCAAGATCATTGGCGTGAAGGTTCTGAACCGTGTCGATAAGGACGAGCTATCGCCGGGCGTGAACAAGATGGTTCGGCTGTGGATCGCGCAGACGCGGAAGATTACCGAGGGCGATAAGATGGCGGGCCGCCACGGGAACAAGGGCGTGGTGGCGAAGATAATGCCGGAAGAGGATATGCCGTTCCTGCCGGACGGGACGCCGGTTGACATCATACTCAACCCTATCGGCGTGCCGTCGCGCATGAACCTGGGTCAGGTGCTGGAGATGCATCTGGGCTGGGCGGCGCATAACCTTGGGTTCAAGGCGGTTACGCCTGTATTTGATGGCGCGCCGGACACTAGCATCGAGGATGCGCTGGCACAGGCGTGGATTATCGATCAGGCGGCAGCGGTTGATGTGGCGTCAGATGACTTCTCCGGGATGAAGAAGATTGACCTAGGCAAGGTTCGCACGTGGCTTGATGGGCGGAATTACAGCTTCGAGAGAGTTTTTGGTCGTGGAGAAGGCACAGAGCCAGTACCGGGAGAGGCTACCAGAATTTGCCTTGAGACATGGTTGAGCGAAGAAATACGGGCCGATGTTTCTGAGATGACACTGACTGACATGAAGGAAGAGGCGCTGCGACTGAACCGCGAGGAACAGATAGCCGCGCCGACACTGGGCAAGTCGATACTCTTCGACGGGCGCACAGGTGAGCCGTTCGACCAGCCGATTGCGGTGGGGTACATCTACATGATGAAGCTCATCCACCTGGTCGAGGACAAGATACACGCGCGCTCGACGGGACCGTACTCGCTGATAACGCAGCAACCACTTGGCGGCAAGGCGCAGTTCGGCGGGCAGCGGTTCGGCGAGATGGAGGTCTGGGCGCTGGAAGCGTACAGCGCGGCGAACAACCTTCAGGAGATGCTGACGCTGAAGTCGGACGATGTTATCGGCAGGGTGAAGACCTACGAGGCAATCGTGAAGGGTGAGAATGTTACGCAGCCGGGCGTGCCGGAGTCGTTCCATGTGCTGATGAAGGAGCTTCAGAGCCTTGGGATGTCGGTGGAACTGTTGCAAGAGCCGACGAGCCAGTTCCTGCTGGACGATTTTGATGACAATATGGGCGCGCTGGATGATTTCCCGCCTGCACTAGGCATGGATGAGATGTTCAGCGACGTGCCTGTGCTGAACGGTGATGCGGAGAATGGCGTTTCGGACGCGATAACGGAGGAAGTTCCTACGGCGTCTATTGACGGTGATGGTGATGTCGAGATGACTTCACAGGATACGAGTTCGGAGGAGACAGATCCGCAAGAGATGGCTACTCCGGAAGTCACGCCGCAGGTAGGGAGATGATTAGGGTTTGATCCGTATTGTCCTGATTTCGTCTGCTCGTGGTGTATAGGAGGTATTCCGTATCTGCGATGCATTGACTGCATAGGGCGGCAATGATATGGCAGAGCCCACACGAGGCGACAGGACAAATGGGACATCAGCGCGGACAGGGCACAGGCGCAGGAGGAAGTCCAGCCCAACGATAGTTCTGAGCGGCTGCCGAATACGATAGCGGCGGGAGGTCGCTCCCGGGTAGTTAGCCGACACATGAGGGGCAGGCCACACCCCCGTATCACTGCAAATGGGGTAGCGCATGCCCTTGAGAACTGGATATTGCGAGGAGTGCGTATCGATGAACATGGTGAGGAAAGTATGTGTTACATCGGACCGGCACCAGGCATACGGGGAATGATTCGAGTAGCGATTTCTATGGACGATGAGAAAATCATCACTGCCTTGCAGACCAGCGCGCTACACGCGCTTTAAGGCGAGGCGACGATGACTACTTTGATATGGTCTATGGAGATTGGGAGAAACGCAATGAGCATTGACTATGTCCACTATGACAGTGAGGTCGATGCGCTTCGCATTGCCACTAATAGTGGCGGGGCTACCTCATCCTCTTTGTGGTACAACAGTGATATTGTGGTTGACCTTGCTACGGAAGATGGGCAGGACATAGTAGGGCTAGGAGTTTTGTGTGCGTCGGTGTATCTACCCTTGGGTAAAAGGGGATATGACGCTGAAAGTGACACTTTATTGATGGGAGATTCTACTTCCGACCCAGCGCTAATCACGGAGAACGGCGACTTTATCGGGTATTGGAAGATGGCAAGGATGTCGAAGTCGAAGAGTTTGACCCAGTAGGCGTTGCACTTAAGCAAGCATCAGTCCATCTAGCGAAAGTAAATGCTATTCTGGGCGACTCCTACGAGCGCACACTATGAACAAATGAACTCTAGCACATATCGCCGCAAGCAAACAAAACCCACGGTCTTCTGAATACCGAATAAGCATCTAGCAAACAAAGCTTGGCAATACTAAGTGGGGATAATCAGGCGACGAAGGCTAACAAGATACACAGGTTGAATAGGATATTTCCTACTCCCTTCGGCAAGCTCAGGGCAGGCTCTAACCTTCCCCTATCGAGGAGGAAGGGACTTTCCAATCTGACAATGCTGGAAAAAACCGACACACTGACCGACTGACATACCACAACAGACAATGGAGTGTGCTAAATGGGTCAAGGCGGCAACGATTTCAACGCAATCAGGATTTCCCTCGCCTCGCCAGAGCAGATACGGCTGTGGTCATACGGCGAGGTGCTTAAGCCGGAGACTATCAACTACCGCACGCTTCGTCCGGAGAAGGACGGGCTGTTCTGCGAGCGCATTTTCGGGCCGACAAAGGACTGGGAGTGCTACTGCGGGAAGTACAAGAAGATACGGCACCGTGGCATAATCTGCGACCGCTGCGGTGTGGAGATTGCGCGCGCGAAAGTGCGGCGTGAGCGCATGGGGCATATCTCGCTGGCGGCGCCGGTGGCGCATATCTGGTTCTCAAAGGGAACGCCGAGCCGTCTGGGGCTGATGCTGGACCTTTCGCCGAAGAACCTGGACAGGGTGCTCTACTTCGCGCAGTATCTCGTTACGAAAGTGAATTCGGAGATGGTCGTCGAAGAGGTTGACCGTCTGCAGAACGGGCTTGAAGCCGAACTGCTGCGGATGGAGGAGAAACTTCTCGAGAAGACGGAAGAGGTACAGGCGCAGCTTGACGGCGCCGAGGAAAACGGCCTTTCTATGGAGCGCCAAGAGGAGTTGCGGGATGAGATCCGGCAGCTGAACCTGAACTTTGAGGAAGAGCGCGACAATCTGGAGACTGAGATTCAGGACCAGATTGACGACATGGAAGGGCTGAGTGTGGGCGACCTGCTCACGGAGAGCCGCTTCCGCGACCTTCGGGGATAGCTGCGGCGATGTATTCGAGGCGGGCATGGGCGCAGAGGCCGTGCTGGAACTGCTGCGGGCCATCGACCTGGACGTGATGCGGGACACGCTGCAAGAGGAGATTCGCACGACTTCGGGTCAGCGACACAAGAGGGCTGTCAAACGACTGCGCGTTGTTGAGGCCTTCCGCAAGAGCGAGAACAAGCCGGACTGGATGATATTCACGGTGCTGCCGGTGCTGCCGCCTGAGCTTCGCCCGATGGTGCAGCTTGACGGCGGGCGGTTCGCGACGAGCGACCTGAACGACCTTTATCGCAGGGTCATAAACCGCAACAACAGATTGAAGCGGCTCATTGACCTGATGGCACCAGAGATTATCGTGCGCAATGAGAAGCGCATGCTTCAAGAGGCGGTTGACGCGCTGGTGGACAACGGCAGGCGAGGCAGGGCTGTGGCGGGAAGCCACAACCACAAGCTGAAGTCACTTTCGGACCTGCTGCGAGGCAAGCAGGGACGCTTCCGACAGAATCTGCTGGGCAAGCGCGTGGACTACAGCGGCCGCTCGGTGATTATCGTGGGGCCGGAGCTGAAGTTGAACGAGTGCGGACTGCCGCGCAAGATGGCGCTTGAGCTGTTCAAGCCGTTCGTGATGAACAAGCTGGTGATCAATGGGTACGCGCATAACATCAAGAGCGCGAAGCGGCTTGCGGAAAGCGAGCGTCCAGAGGTCTGGGACATACTGGAGCGGGTGGTGCAGGACAGGCCCGTGCTGCTGAATCGCGCCCCTACCCTGCACAGGCTAGGCATCCAGGCGTTCCAGCCGGTGCTCATCGAGGGCAGCGCGATACGGCTGCATCCGCTGGTTACGACAGCGTTCAACGCAGACTTCGACGGTGACCAGATGGCGGTGCACTGTGCCGCTGTCTAAGGAAGCCGTCTGGGAAGCGAAGCGGATGATGATGAGCACAAACAACATGCTTGCGCCAAGCTCGGGCGAACCAATCGTCTCGCCGACGCTGGATATGGTGCTAGGCTGCTTCTACATGACGCAGTGGCTAGAGGGCGCACGCGGCGAGGGACGCGAATTCTCCGACATAGAGGATGCGCGGCTCGCATACGAACTCGGGCAGCTCGACCTGCGCGCGACTTGTCAAAGTGCGCGGGAAAGACGACGAGGACTGGATAGAGACGACACCGGGGCGGATAATCTTTAACGAGGCACTGCCCGCTGAACTCGGCTTCTATAACGTCGTCATCGACAGGAGCATGCTGAACGAGATCACATCCCAGTCGCACCAGGTGCTGGGGAACGAGGGCACGGCGGATGTCCTGGACAACATCAAGGACATGGGCTTCCACTACGCATCGAAGTCGGGCATAACCATCGCAATCAACGATGTGGAAGTGCCAACCCAGAAGCGGGAAATCATCGTAGATGCGGAGAGCAAGATCGCCGAACTGGACGAGATGTATATGGACGGTCTGGTAACTGCGAACGACCGCTACAACCAGACTGTCGGGATATGGACGGATGCGAACGACAACCTGACCAAAGCGGTGGAGCGCAACCTCAGCAGGTACGGCGGCACCAAACAAGGGTCAATGAAAAACGCCGGAATCGGTCTGTACATGATGGCAACATCGGGGGCGAAGGGTAATATCGCGCAGATCAAGCAGATGGCAGGTATGCGCGGCCTGATGTCCGACCCTCATGGTCGTATCCTCGAGCGTCCGATCAAGTCTAGCTTCCGTGAAGGACTGAGCGTGCTGGAGTATTTCATCTCCACGCACGGCGCGCGAAAGGGATTGACGGACACTGCGTTGAGGACGGCGGACAGCGGCTATATGACGCGCCGCCTTATTGATGTAGCGCAGGAACTTATCGTGCTGGAGGAGGACTGCGGCACGCTGGAGGGACTGCTGATAGAGACGAGTCGGCCTGAATCGCTGCTGCCTTCGTTCGAGGACAGGGCGAAGAGCCGATACGCCGCCGAAGCGGTCGCGGACCCGAATACGGGCGAAATCCTCATCGAGCGCAACGAGTTGTTCAGCCTTGAGGTGATTGCGAAGATAGCCGAGGCAGGCGTCCTTAATGTGATGGTTCGCTCGCCAATCAGGTGCGAGGCGGAGCGCGGGCTGTGCCGCATGTGCTACGGGATGTCGCTGGCTACCTGGAAGCCGATAATGATCGGCGAAGCGGTGGGCATCATCGCGGCGCAGAGCATCGGCGAGCCGGGAACGCAGCTGACAATGCGTACGTTCCACACGGGCGGTATCGCGGGATCGGACATCACGAGTGGTCTGCCGCGCGTGAATGAGCTATTCGAAGCGCGCGTGCCGAAGGGCGAGGCGGTGCTGTCGGAGATTGACGGCACGGCGACAGTCAACGAGACGACCGAGGGCAGGATCGTTCAGGTGGTGAACGCGGAGACCTATACGGACGAGTATATGCTGCCAGAGGGTAGCAGCCCGCTGGTGGGCGACGGGGACCTGGTGAACATTGGCGATAGGCTTGCGGCACTGGAGATCGACGAGGAGTCGGAAGACGCGGCGCTGATGCCGAACGACATCCTGGCGCGCGTATCGGGAATGGTGCGTGTCGACGGGGAGACGCTCTCGATAAGCTGGACGGACGAAGACCGCCGTGAGTACCAGATACCGGCGGCGTCCTCGCTGATAGTGAGCTCCGGAGCCAAGGTTGCGGCGGGCGATCCGCTGACTTCAGGGCCGAAGAGTCCGCAGCGCATCCTGAGCTTGCAGGGTCGCGAGGCAGTGCAGCAGTATCTCACAGACCAGGTGCAGAATGTGTACCGCTCGCAGGGCGTGACCATCACGACAAGCACATCGAGGTGATTATCTCGCAGATGCTGCGCAAGGTGCAGGTGGAGGATTCCGGCGACACGAACCTGCTGCCGGATGACCAGGTAGACCGCCGGCAGTTCGAGGAGCATAACGCCGCGGTGCTTGCCGAGGGCGGCGAGCCGGCGACTGCAAGCCCTGTGCTGCTGGGCATCACACGAGCGTCGCTGAAGATGGACAGCTTCCTGTCGGCGGCGTCGTTCCAGGAGACGACACGGGTTCTGACCGAGGCTGCGGTGAATAGCGATGTCGATTACCTGCGCGGTCTGAAGGAAAATGTCATTATCGGCAGGCTGATTCCTGCGCGGCTTGACCTGACGGAAGAGGGCCGGGCGTTCCTGGACATACCGGAGGACGTGGAAGAGATCGATCCCATCAGCATGCTGACGGGGCCGGTGGACGAGTTCCAGTCGGAGATGGCACAGGGGCCGTTCGGCGTGGGCGCTGAGGATATTGATATCAATATGGATATGGTGGATGTGGAGGAGCAGGCGCCGGTCGGGGATGACTAGACTGAAATAACGAATAGCCGACAAGTATAGACAGGATGGTTGTGATGTTTGTGAGAATGTCCTTCCATCCTGTTTTATTTTGATATTGATAAGGGGCACAAGCCGACGTTGGATATTTATAAGGGAGGCATCTGATATCAAAAGGAGTGCAATGTCGGCGATGCTTTGGCTGGGCGCATTGATGGCGCTGGTTGCGTGTGGCGGGGGCGAATCGCTGACGTATGATGAGTCGATGGACTTGCTGGCGAGCGCAATGGAGCGGACAATAGCGAGTGAGTACTCGGCTGAAGGTAATACTGTCTATGTTGTGGACATGGGAGATTCACTAAGAGAGTACACTTACAGCGGTTACGAAATTCACCATAAATCTAGTCGGAACTTCTTCAGCTACCACGTAACCAGAAATCCCCTTTCACCCCCTGAGATAAGCAAATCAATCGTGCTTGAAGGTAAGATGTACGAGTTCGTGGATGCCGACAGGTGCTACTCTCATGACGCCCAGAAGACAGTATCCGCCTCCGGCACCCAAGTGACAACTACCACCACCTCTGAAGTCCAGGAGACATCCATCCCTGACGTCAAGGTGACAACCAGTTTTACTGCAACCTCTGATCGATTCGGGAGCTCAACCTTTGATCGATTCGGGCCCATATACACGGAAAATATATCGTGACTACGACTACAGCGGTGAGAGATGGGTTGAAGAAGATGGTTCCAGTGTAGCTCTGATAGAGTTCGAGTCAGACCCGGACTTCAGATTTTCCTTTAAGGTCCGAGATGGTTATATGGTCGAAAGTAAAGTTCATTCAGAGAGAGACAACCACGGCAAGTTGGTCAGAGACGGCTTCGACGACAAGATTGTCGCTAAAAAGACGTTAACTCGTTATTACAACATCGGAGTGAGGAAGGAATTTCCGGTGCCGGAACCGATTTGTGAATGATATGACGGAGGATAGATGATGACTGCGAAGGTACACGATTTTCATGATGGGAACCTGCATTTTCAGGAGCGGTTCGGGACGGTGAAGCTGGCGGAGCGGGTGGCGCAGCGGGCGTCGGAGCGGCTGAGCAAGGAGCAGCGGGAGTTTATCGAGCAGGCGGATATGTTCTTTATGGCGACTTGCGATCATCGGGGGCTGCCGACATGCTCATACAAGGGTGGCGATCCGGGCTTCGTGACTGTGGTGGATGACGCGTGCATCGCGTTTCCGAACTATGACGGGAATGGCAAGTACCAGAGCATGGGCAACTTGCTGAAGAACGCGAATGTTGGGCTGCTGTTCGTGGATTTTGTGGGGCAGGCGCGGCTGAGGCTGCAAGGCGTGGTGTCGATAGATGAGGATGAGGCGCTGATAGCGAAAGTATCCGTGGGGCGCAGTTCACATCGTGTCTGGTGGCGCTGACGAGTGTACCCGAATGGCGCGCGGTATGTGCATAAGTACAGAGCTGGTGGAGCGGTTCGGCGTATGTGCCGCGCAAGAACATGCGAGCGTCAGTCGACGCGGAGTGGAAGCGGAGCGTGCGGAGTACCTTGCCGCGAACGATCTACGCGCGCGGGGTAACTGACACTGATCGACATGACGAATAGATGGGAGAGTTGGCGATGACCAGACATTTGACGACGGCAATTATCGAGCGCGAAGCGATGGTTTCATGTCGCTGCTGTGCCCTGCTTTGTGGATATTGCGAGCCAGGGACGGTGTAAAGCTGAGCTCGGATACCGTGTGAAGGAAGCGTTAGAGAGTTGTGAGACGGCTTCGTTTCGATACGGAGTTGAGCGCCGCTTGCGTGGGAAGTGTACATAACACGGTAGAGGTCTCACTCAGTTGCTAGACTTCGAGTGCTATCGGCGGGCGGGAGGTCTTCCGAATACTTGCGACTCAGGATTTACCGAGATTCGACCGCCGGGGCAGTCATATAATAATGCAGAAGGTCAAGATTGATGACACTATAACCGTTCCAGTTCCCACCCACATGTAACTACTGCGATCATGGACGCTGAGAGCAGTCATCAGAGCAGTCAGGGTTGCCCAGGAGCGGCTGTTTGAAGTAAAGTCTTCTAGTTTAGGACGCTGGCGAGGAGAAGCCTCCGTCAACGGTGGAGGGTAAGGAATCATGTCATCTGCGATTACATCCGAGAGCGGGTACGACATCGTTATCGTGTGGCAGGGAGCGGCAGGTTTCGCTGTCCGCTCTCTACTCTGCCCGATACCGCACCCACCGCGCCGATTAGCATCGTGATCGGCGAGACATTCGAGTGCGAAACCGACATAGGCGGCGGATTGAGACTATCCAGGGCATGTCGCATAGACGGCTTGAACTTATGACGCACTTCCTCCCGCGACGCAGGCGGAGAAGTAACGATGTGCCTCTTCTCCAGGACAAGGTACGAAGATGAGAAACGCCTGCCGACGGCTTCCTGAGGTAGAGCACGGAACTGAATTATCTGCTGCATATAGCCAAGACGGTGATTCTGGCTATGGCAGAACGACGCCGCAGCTGATGCTGGAGCAGTGAGGAGAATGGATAGGCGCGCGTGTCGTTCTGCTTTTCCGTGTGTGCGACGAGACGCCGCTGCCAGGCAAATCGCCACAACGACCGTGCGCGGTGTGTGATCGAGTGCGGCAATGCGCGTCTGTGTCTGTAGGGGCGGGCGCGATTAAACATCGCTCGCCCAGTACGCAAGTCGCAGTCTATCTAATCTATCGCGGCGGCGAGTCTTGTCCGTCCGGAGCGGATTGTCGTCGAAGAGTTGACCGCACAGGGAATGATCACTCACTCTTTGCTAGAGAACCAGACTGTAGTGTCGGACTGAAGGGAGCACGCGACTCTGACTGCGACGCAAAATCGACATCTGACACAGCCCCCCACAGAGGTTCGGACGAGCTTGCCGCGGGAGGGTATATTAACGATAGTTGGAGCGACCTCTTACCGACGTTTTCCCAATCAACTCGGATCGCCCTAACGACGAGGGTGATTGATTGTCTATTAAGGATTTTGCACGAATTTGCGCTGCGGCATCTTTCGCGGTCTGGCGACCTGACTAACGGTTCCGTTCACATCTAAAGGCATACCGTCACTGGTCGTCGGCGCAGGTCAGCATATGGCAAGCAAGCGTCCGGGCTGCGTACGAAGTCATCATCACACTAGAGGACTAGCAACAGCCCTCAAGTGAGGCACTTGTCCCGTGAATAAAGAGCGCGGAGAGGAAGGGTGAGGGCGAGGGTTAGTCACGCCTTTAGGATAGTGAACTAACCTTTTATACCTTTTCCATCTGGGCGCCAATTGTTGCGCGAAGTTCTTTAAGATAAGACCAGTCTGCACATGTTGACAAATATCTATCTAACCGTTCCATTTCGTCCGTATATGATACAAGTCGACCCGGATGTTCTGTGATGAATAGACCATATGCCTAAGAAAGCGATTATAGATTGTTCGTTTAGGATTGATGGGCTATGGAGCTCTCTTGTCCTATTTTGGACATTGCTAGCCAAGGAGCACAAAAGGAGCAAGAAAAAAAAAAAAAGGAAAACTCCACCTCAGCACCATACAAACCAAGGCAAACAAGACGCAAAAAAAAACAAAGGATAAGCAACGAACGAGAAACAAACCAACGCGGGGCAGCAAACAAACTAAGCGTGACCACGGATGCTAGGGAAAATCTGTAAAGAGGCGGTTTGACGTTGTTCTTAAGCTAGTTTTGCTTCGGATCCAATTCAGCATCCGAAGAGGGAAAAAAAAAAAAACATAACGAGAAGATTTTCAGGTTTATGTCCTCTAGGGGGGGGGGTTGATATTTTGAGGTTGGTCTTTCATTACTTTTGTCACTTCGAGGGAAGCGAAAATCTAAATCGAGATTTGTCGCATGTGCCAATCGATTTAAGCATTCTTCACTCCCGCTGCAGCTTCGTTCAGATGACAGGGATGAATGCTTTTGCGTCCGAGATGACAAGGGATGATATGCGCTGCGTTCGGTATGACAGTATATGACGACGTTTCGTTCGGAATGAACAGGGTACAACTCCATTTCAGTTCCTTAACGGTTTTGTGCATTCCTATGTCAAACAGAACCTAGTTTTTGGGGCGCCTTGAGGCGGAAGTTGCCCTTGGAGGATCTTCAACAATTCGCTGGGTACTGGTCCGTAATTCATTCTAATGGCCGTCCATGCTTTGATCACCTTCCATACACTGTTGAAAACAGCCATGGGTCGCGAGTGGCTAAGCATCTCCTAGTTGTTCAAATTTTCAGCCTGCCATCCTCTGACATAGGAACCCGCGTATGGTGGCTGTTCAATCTTCTTGGCGGAGACTCGTTAGGCGGGATCATTCTTTTCCTGCTACCCAATTAGCGCCTGACATACGACGGTGAGTCAGGTCGGCACGAATCTGCTCATACACTCGCTCTCGTAGCCACATTTTGCATGTAGTCCGGTCTTTACGCAGTCGTACAGCTCTACGCGGAGGTCTCTTCGCAATCATTCCTTCCACAGCACGTTAGCTGCAATAGCGGTTTCATCCGCGAACGTCTTCGTTTATCGCGCGGTATGTAACTCATCCACTGCTTTTGTGGGCTCGACGTCTATATCATCCGAATGCTGACAGAGTTATATTCACAGGCCTTCCTCAGCGGCGGCGCACCGCGTTGTCATCATCCCAGCACCTAAGGATTGCGTCCGCAGGCCATCCGGTCATGGCTCGAAATTATGAGATATACAGGTACTGCGTCGTGCGTAGCGCCCTCTGGTATGGAGACCACCCTCGCCCTGGAGAGAACATGGTCTTTCATTCTCCTGCCAGTCACCACGAAATTTCGCGTTTTTCCTCTTCTATGGCGTTATGCGTCCACTCTCAGTGGATTCGAGCAATGCATAATACTGCTGCTACCATTTCGGTGCAGGTCAACACCGGCCTGAGCATCACGACGGACGTAGGAGCCAGTCCAGCATGTTCACAAATCGACTATGGACGACGGATTCCCCGGTGATACTTTCTTTCTCGGG